TGTGTGTGTGTCTGTAAGTGTGTAATTGTGTGTGTCTGTAAGTGAATGTGTGTGTGTCTGTGAGTGAATGTGTGTGTTGGTCAGTGAGTGTATATGTATCAGTCAGTGAGTGTGTATGTGTCAGTCAGTGAGTGTGTATGTGTCGTCAGTGAGTGTGTATGTGTCAGTCAGTGAGTGTGTATGTGTCGTCAGTGAGTGTGTATGTGTCGTCAGTGAGTGTGTATGTGTCGTCAGTGAGTGTGTGTCGGTCAGTGAGTGTGTAGGTCAGTGAGTGTGTATGTGTCGGTCAGTGAGTGTGTGTCGGTCAGTGAGTGTGTAGGTCAGTGAGTGTGTATGTGTCGGTCAGTGAGTGTGTGTCAGTCAGTGTGTATGTGTCGGTCAGTGGAGTCGTGCATCTTTCAGTGAGTGCTTGCGTCTGTCAGTGAGAGTGTGCATCTGTCAGTGTGTGTCCAAGTAATAGTGTATGTGTGTAAGTAATAGTGTATGTGTGTATGTCATTGTTTGTCAGTGTATATGAGAGTGTGCGTCTGTCAGTGAGTGAGCGTCTGTCAGTCAAAGTGCGGCCTTGACAGGAAGGGGTGGGGGAAATTTAAACTCGGTTACAGGCATGTACACACACACTCAGTTAAAGGCAGTCACACATACAGGCACAGGCACAAACAATGGCACAGCGACACACACAGACAGACAGTCACATAGGCAGTCACACACACAGACAGACACACAGTAACACACACATAGACAGTTATACACACACAGGCAGGCAGTCACACAGATAGAAAGTCACACACACAGGCAGGCAGTCACACACAGACAGATAGTTACAGACAGACACACACAGGCAGGCAGGCAGTCACATACAGGCAGTCACACACACAGGCAGTCACACACACAGACAGACAGTCACACACACAGACAGTCACACAGACAGACAGTCTCACACACACAGGCAGTCACACACACGGGCAGTCACACAGACAGACAGTCACACAGACAGACAGTCACACACACAGGCAGTCACATACATGGGCAGTCACACAGACAGACAGTCACACACACAGACAGTCACACACAGGCAGGCAGTCACACACAGAGACAGTCACACACAGAGACAGTCACACACACACACAGAGACAGACAGTCACACACACACACACACACAAGGACAGGCAGTCACACAGACAGTCACACACACACACAGACAGACAGTCACACAAACAGGCAAACAGTCACACACACACACTTACCTCTTTCCAGTGGATGCAGTTGGCTGATGGGGAAGCATCTTTCCCTCTTCCTGTACAGCAGGGGCTTCGGGAGGTATTAGCCCCGTCTCCGCCTCTCGATAAGCCCCGCCTCCGCCGCTCGGTAAACCCCGCCCCCTCTGCCGCGATTTTTTTTTTTTTTAAATAGACCCGGGTGGAGAATAATTAATCCTCCAGCCAGGTACCTCTTTTAGCTCCCCTGCACTCCGGCCATGAGTGAGCTGTGTCGGCCACAGGGCGCCCCCTGTTCCATGGCGCCCTGTGCGGTCGCACAGCTCGCACACCCCTAAGGCCGGCCCTGGTCACATACTTACACATAAATTTACAAACACAGTCACATAAATAAATAGGTCAACAATAGCAGGTACAGCATCACACACAGACTGCTTATGTATAGCAGGTTGATTGATAGCTTAACTGGTTTAGTGTCCAGGTGTGGTTATGTGACAGGGTAGGTAGGTAGTTACTCAGCAGAGTATTGGTGTAACACCACCTATACTCAGCAGCACATACTGGGGGAGTTTCTAGGGTTGACAGGTTTTCAAGGCTGCATGCTAAAGCAGCCACTCATTCTCCTGAGTACTACCGTGTCTCAAGCTGTGACACTCTTCCCTGCAGCACCCCCGTCATTTTAGTGCTTGGTCACAAATGCCCCCTCAAATGACCCTGGTGGTCCGGTGGTGTCCTATATCAGTTCCCTGGCAGTCCAGTGGTGAAGAGCAGGAAGCACACGTCCTGTTGTTTCTGACCATAATACCAACTCCTTCGCGGCTCCGGCTTTCAATGTTGCCAGAGCGCAGGCTGAGAATCTCTAAGCCTTTGGTCGGACTCACTAACTGAGCGCCTGAACCACGAGGGAGAGGATATGATCTGACTGCACCTACTGCTGGTGCACCCCAGTGGACCACCAGGGAATCGTTTGAATTTAATATGCCGGTGTCCCCAACTTGCGAGATGTGTTGGCTGTCGTGCGCCTCTGTTGTCATGGCGCCCTGCATGGCCGCACAACTTGCCCACACCAAATGCTGGCCCTCACTCTCAATGACACACACACACAAACCCTGACAAACACACTGTAGTGGAGAGCTGGTATTTCACAGGTTAACACCACTAAAGATCCCAGTGAGGCTCAGGAACAAGTAATAAAAACACCATAGAGCAATAATCCCAGCAAGCAAGGTAATCCACGAATATTCCCATACAGATCCCAATGACTGGACGACACACAGCATCAGGAGCAGAACTGACTTTTAATCCACACAACCTCCTTATAAAGCATTCTCCCATGCAAGGGAGGGGTTCACATTAATCAGGACAGTAACCAATAATGTCACAGTTACCTCCCACACATCTCCTCCCCTCAGTGTGACACATAATCCTATTAAACATACTATACTTTTTCCCGAATTCTAGATGTACCCCCAAACCCCCAGTTAGAATAATACTTTTGGTACCCCCTGATAGCCCTGATCTGGCTGATTAACATATCCAAAATTCACCCAGATCGGACCAGGGGTTCGGGAGTTAGCTGGAGGGTGTAATTTGACCGACCGCACAGGAGGTGGCATCCGAAAAAGGCTCCGTGTGTTTTGGCCTTGCGGTCGGTCTCTACTCGGGAGTTAAAACACTTAGAAATACCTGCCATCCACGGCTAATCTTTCATTCGTATGAATTCCCTTGTTCGGGTCATTGATTTTACCGAACGGGGGGCTGACTAGTCTCTCCGTTTGGGAGTTATGGAACTCTGGAGGTCTCAGCGGTGTTCGGTTGTTTGAGTGTCTGATTTTTGTTCCACTCGACGACCAAACACCGCTGAGATTTTCATGCGTAAGATGGCCGCCGCATGTGATTCGCATGCCGAACGGCGCCCACACAGGCACTGACTCTCAAGGTTTAAGCCATTTAAATGAAGTTGGAAACATACTGAATTGTAAACTCTTATCACATCACACTGTTTACTGGACAAAGACAGACGTCACCAATAGGCATTCATGTCGCTGTTTGTAGGATATGCAGAATATTTTGGGGCACAGAGGAAAAGAGAAGCACAGTGACCATCTATTGTTACTGTGAACATTCTGGTTACAGAATTAAATCAATTGTACATTAAGGAATGCTTTTAAGACCTTGAAAATATCCTGCATTATAGATGATTAGCTCTTCCAAGATGAATAATATGAGCTATCTAAAGCTTTTATTGAACAACTAGTGATGAAGGCTTCTGTTTTCAAATTGTCAATATAAAATATGCAGACATGAACATCTATATATACTGGCTATGGCTATTTTACAAGTTCAACTTGCAAGAAATAAACCCATGATATTCATAACTCAAATGCATAGCAGAGATCAAGGTTCCCATATTTAACTCTTTGATGAATACACATATTTTTTACTTTAGACAATGATGGCTTTTTGGATTTTCAAGTTTTTAAATTAACTTACATTTTACAATTTGAATCAATTGTTGTGCATCTCCATTATGAAT